ATTAGACAATAAAGAGAGAAGCTGCTCTGTTTTCTACCAGTCCTTGAGTTGGCCTTGTACATGAACTTTCACAACCTGCTCCTCTCTTTCTGTCTGAAACAATAAGACAGTAAATTGTGCTCCACTTAGAGTGCACTTAGATCATTTCTCTGTTCCTCAACAAAGCCTCTTAATTACATATGTTTAGACATAAAAAGTCCTGTAAACAAATGTTCATGCACGTGAGTGAAAAATAGCCGTGTTTGCCAACAAGACAGTCATTTTCTGCTAATTTGGTTTTGCGATCCCAGCTGTGTGTTCCAGAGAGAAAGCATCACTACAATAGGTTATTTTTGGTTATATACGAGGTGCTGGTTAAGGAATAGGAAAAATAATTGTCTACTTTTCTACTGAACTTAAACCATATTCTACTATTCCACTGCAAAATTTTGTTCAGTACAACTACTTGTTTTTTTGCAGGACTAACACATTATGATTCCTGTGATCACATGAGTCAAAATTACAAATGCATATCATAAAAGTATCACAAAAAGGGTCCTTGCACCTTGTGTATTATGTTCTTCTGAAGCCATACAACGTCTTTCTATGAGGAACAGACTGAAAGTTGTTTTATGCTAAACATCCATCCAGCCAAGTTCTCCTTGGGCCATTCATGAGTATGAACAAATCTTTATTTTGGATCGGATCTTTTTAAATGAATCTGTTTATCAAGTTCACATATCAGTCAAAGTTGCCAAGTCCGCGTATTATACGCGACTTTGGGCTTCTTTTTTTGTAAAGTTGCGTAAAAAAATCCCCGGGTCGCGGGTTGCGGTTTTTTGGGCTTATTTAAAAAAATATGGTTGCTTGTTAGGGAAATCTGACAAGCAACTTCGTTTCTTTATTTATGTTCGCGGTATTCTCCAATGCATTGGTTGACACTCTGCTCACAGCATTTTCTACTGAACTTCCATATTCTACTATTCCACTGCAAAATTTTGTTCAATACAACTACTTGTTTTTTTGCAGGACTAACACATTATGATTCCTGTGATCACATGAGTCAAAATTACAAATGCATATCATAAAAGTATCACAAAAAGGGTCCTTGCACCTTGTGTATTATGTTCTTCTGAAGCCATACAACGGCTTTCTATGAGGAACAGACTGAAAGTTGTTTTATGCTAAACATCCATCCAGCCAAGTTCTCCTTGGGCCATTCATGAGTATGAACAAATCTTTATTTTGGATCGGATCTTTTTAAATGAATCTGTTTATCAAGTTCACATATCAGTCAAAGTTGCCAAGTCCGCGTATTATACGCGACTTTGGGCTTCTTTTTTTGTAAAGTTGCGTAAAAAAATCCCCGGGTCGCGGGTTGCGGTTTTTTGGGCTTATTTAAAAAAATATGGTTGCTTGTTAGGGAAATCTGACAAGCAACTTCGTTTCTTTATTTATGTTCGCGGTATTCTCCAATGCATTGGTTGACACTCTGCTCACAGCAGTGGGGGGCCCTGCCCACATTGTTAATTAATTATATATCAACTGTTTCTATTTGGCATAATGTTTATACGCAGAAATGGACTTTGGCGTGCAAAAGACTGATAAATTCATAGTTAATGGCATGGCTGGTTCAGTAACTGGTACAGTAAAGTACAGAAATACAGGACACACAGGCCTATAATAACTGCTGAAATGTTTGCGGGGCAAATCTCAGATCAGTCTGAGCGCTCATGGTACTCACAGTGCGTACAGCCGTACACCTGCAGGTGCCACTGTGTGTATGTGCTTGTGGGTAGGCCTATTACATTTGTGTGTGGTTGTTGCCGCTAAAGTTGGCCATGATTCGGGACATGGTGTTGATAATTTTTAGACCTCTTTCTTAGTCTCTTGCTCTTCGGAGAGGAATGCAGTTGCCGCGATTACTGGGTTACTGTGCTAAAAATACACACACAAAAAAGTTTGCGGTAATTTCCGTAATTTCAGCACCACAGCGCTGAAACACTCAACGCTTCTGATAACCTTGCCTTCTGTGCTTTGCAATAGGTATCACATGCTGATGACTGTAAAATTCAACACGATTAATTTGGTACTTCTGGCTGCTGCGGCCAGGCTGCCCAGCCTCTCTTAGAGAGAGATGCACGCAAAGAGTTTCAATTTGAGTTTCGATGTTCAATTTAATATAAGAAACTGATAAGATACTGATTTTAGTTGGTCTAAATTAAGTAGGTCATGCACAAATGAGCATATATGGGTTCCTTTCTAGACACCAGTGCTGTGTGTTTGCATGTGCTTCATAACCGTGCACGCCAAGGGGCCCGCCATAATAGCCTGCACTGGGGCCCATCATTACTAAGTTACGCCACTGGCTCACAGTTAATAGCCAGCCAGTGCAATAATATAAGTGCTGCAGCTTAATTTGCCAAATGTTCTGCCCCCTCCTCCCCCTCATTGGAGAAAATCACAAAAGAAGGCGTGTGATGCTGTAATCCAAGAGGTGATAGAAGTAGACCTAGAGGAGTGGGATGACTTTCTTTTAGCCTAATTTTTTATTTTTACAATGTTTTTGTAATGTATGAATTATCATGGGCCGTAATAAAAAACAAGTAGTCCTATACTAATACTAAAACTATATAGCCTATACATTTGATTCGAATAGCCTATTCTAGTAAGCTATTATGAGGCTATGTTACAGTTCCCCTTTGAAGCTCTCGTGTTTTTCTCTTTTTCCATCTCTCCAATCCTATTCTGCTCACTGCTCATTGGTGATTGGAGATGAGTTTCTTGTTCTCACTTTGTTGCAGTTTGCTGATTTTTGTAAAATTTGCTTTTTAGATAAAAGAGTGGTTTCAGTTTAATATGTTACAGGTTCATTTATTGGTAATACATAATTGATAATAAATAATATTGATGATAATATTCTTATTTATCTTGCGAGAGTTGGCAACAGTGATCTGCACGATTGGTTCACGCATCGGACTGACCCGGTTCTCCAGTTCAACTTGTCAACGAGAAATGTTTTACAAAGAAATCCTTGAATATTTTTAAGCATTTGTAGCTTACTCGTGGAATTATGAAAGCGTTTGTTACCCATACTGAATCAAAGTAAAGTGAAAATCATAGGCCTATAGCATGTAATATAGCATGCAATACTTCGATATGTGTCTTACTTTATTGGTGAGTTCAATTACCATCCCTGCCTGTACTTTAGGGTATTTCAAAATAAATGTATTTCATTTACTATTTTTAACTCGCAGCAAATTCTGAGGCACTCGCGTGAGAACGCCACGAAGGCGATCTTCCTCATCACTGACGGTTACTCAAACGGCGGAGACCCGCGGCCGGTCGCAGCGGCGCTGAGGGAAAGAGACGTGGAGATTTTCACGCTGGGCATCTGGCAGGGAAACATCCGCGAGCTACACGACATGGCCTCGCACCCCAAGGATCAGCACTGCTACCTAGTGCACAACTTTGCTGAGTTTGAAGCACTAGCTCGACGCGCTCTTCACGAAGGTGAGGATTCAGAATATGAGCCTTTCATTACGGTGGCCGAGAGAGCTCAACGCGCTGCAACTTAAGAAAACACATGCAAATTGAAAAAACACCAGCAAATTAAGAAAACATCTTCATCAGCTTGACAACACACGCGCTGCAAATCCTCACAACACATGCAAATGAAGAAACGCGCTGCAAATAGCACGGACCACAACGGAAATGTTTCAAGGGGACCCAAAAAAGTGACGGACCCGGCTGGGATTTGTTTTGTGCAGTGGCTTTTTTTTTTTTTTTTTTGAGTTTCTGCTAGTGATTCCTTATTTTTTTTTAATTTTTTTTTTATTGAAGATATAACATTCACAGGGGATACAGTCATAGCAATAAATTACATACACAACCAGAATACAAAACAATAAAGATTTGACAGATCAATTGCAGATTGACAGTAAGAATAATATTTAAAATTATTATTTAATCAGGGCCTTTTAGTAGGCTAATGAAAGAAAGGACAATGGAATACAAATACAACGTGCAAACTTCAGTCAACTTGTTTTTGTTTTTCAGATCAAAATGTATTGTACTTAAAATGGTTAAGATTGGGTCATAATTAGTCTTTGTTAAACTAATACTGGGTTATCTTGTTTCATGATTCACATTGTTTACATTTCCCTCTTGGTTCATAGTTAATCCAGTGAGTACTCGTTTACATACGCTTCCTATAAGTTCTTATTTGCATATTTATGAGGCAGATAATATTGAATGGACAGCTGTAGCACATGACCAGCACACAACCCGGATACAACGGTAACTACTCGACTTGCTTTACTAGCCTAACGTTTGTCAGTTAGAAAATGTCGCTATATTTCCACTGGTTGTATTTTGTTTGAAGTATTTGAATGAATGAATGGTGCTTGCTGTCACTGTTCGACATGTTAACAGTTTCTCTCAGGCATACACTAAACATACCATCAAAGTTTTTGCGACTGTATAAAACGTATTAATATTTAACGAGGTTTGTAAAAGATTATTACCGGGTTTCTGTTGTTATACAACTCACAGGAACATTTGAGCACCGACCCAGAAAGCACACATACATCTGCAAGATGTCTGTTAAAGATCACTTCGTCTAGAAAGCATCTGTTGTGTACAAACATCTGACAGACGTTTTTAGTCAGTTTTACATACATTCTAAATCATAAACATCTTAAAGACATTTTCTAAACGTCTATTTGACATCTGATAGGACAGACACGTCCTCTAGACGTATTGCAGATGAGCAAACACTCTAAAAATACGTCTTGCAGATGTAAATGCAGACGTCAAATAGACGTCTACGTGATGTACGTGTGCTATCAGGGGCTCACACTTTGGCAAATCTATTAAAAGTAGTGCTAAAACCCCTGCCAAAAGTCAAGGTGTAAAACATTATGTAAACAAGGGTTAAAGTTTGACTTTAACAGGAGTTTAAAAAGGCATTAACCAAAGGGTAATTGTGAAAAGGAAAAATGTCTATAAAATACAATATAGTCACAGAATTCTCTTGTCTTAAATCAAAGCTTTACTAAAATTTAGCATGGTAACCATAGTTTCCTCTAAATACCATAGTTAGCAGCATAACAGACTTTATCTTGATGTCAGTGGTGACTAATAACAAGCTCTTTTAATAATTTCAGTTGCTGTGATATTTTAACAGAAACTGTGGTTACCATGGTGAATGTTTGTAAAGGGAAATCAAAGGCCAATCCAGCTAATTTTTCCTGAGTCGGACAAATATGAGCCCCTGTTAATCCCAGTGTAAAAGAAAACTGGTACAAAAATAATTCAGTGTTATTATTTCCTTTGGCTGTCTGGCTACAGCAGATTCTTCTTATCTGAGCTCTGAACTCAATCAGCCAGCCACATGAACTCAAAAGACCCCTTTCTTCATGACGACATCAATCTACAATAAACCCAGAGAGATATAAAACAAAGAAGCCCTCTGGATAGCAACAGATCAGTTATTGGCTTTGGGCAAAGGGAGGCCTGACTAAAGCTGTGGCATCGTTTGTTCTCGCCTCCCGTTATATCATGTCTGTCATATCCTTTGTCCAAGATAGTGCAGACTCCTTCAGCTTGCGTAGTCTGTCTGTGTATGCCAACATCTGGAGCCATGCATTTGTTTGTATTTAGGGAGACAAAATAGTCCTGCCAAAAGTGAAGGTTTTTATAGTTAGTTATGCAGAAGACACTAATACCGAAACACACACATGCTCACTTTTCCAGCGCCGCTTGGAGTTCAGTTAGACAGGTAGGAATAGATGAATTACGAAGGCAAAAATTATTGTCTTTTGCATCAGAGAAATGTGCAATCTGATATTCATTGCCATTTTCTCTTCCAGATCTTCCAACTGGAAGTTATATTCAGGAGGACCTGGCACAGTGTTCATCATTGTGCAAAGAGGGAAAGAACTGTTGTGACATAATGGGCAGTTGTAAATGCGGTACACACACAGGACAGTACGACTGTGTGTGTGAGAAAGGATACTATGGAAAAGGACTTCAACATGAGTGCACAGGTAAGGGTCATGGTCTGTATGCAAAGTTTGGATTTTCCATTTCAGTTCAAAAGCTTTGAAGAAATGGATGGAGTTCCTAGAGACAAGTCCAGTTTATTACTTGATAAATTTGCTCAGGGATGTTTAAGGCTGAAATGTGAATTGAAAGCCAATTCCTCTCCTGAAATGAAGTAAAAGAAACACTTCCACCAAATATCCATAGTGACAGAGAAAACAGCATACAAATAGATGGGACATTGAAGCGTGATGCCAAAGTGGTGCTTTAGCTCTCTTTTTGCTTTCGTAACAAACTCATAAACATAATTTAAAACATTCACAATCATCTCTTTGTGCACTGCAAAATACCACATAATATGCTATGCCAACACATTTTTGCAGTTTACTTAACGTCATTTTAATCTGGCAACCCTACTTTTTGTCCACCTCATAAAACTGCTTGAAGAAAAGCAATGCTTCATTTGAATTGAGATCTATTTGTGTTTTACATTCATGGAATGCAGTCCTATTAAATCTATCTTTCATGCTGTGGTAAAAATGTGCTCATATTGAGACAGTTCTAAAATAATCAGTCTGACTAATTAAACTGAGGAATGAGGTGGTAGGAAAGTGTTAGCTGTACAAACACGGTGTGAACTGCAGAGTTCATGTGATGGAAAGCTAACCTCCGACAAATGTTATTATTGCTCACTTGCTTTCACACTTTTTTGGCTTTGTAGCAGTATTTCTTTCTTTTTCTCAGCAGAGACATTCAATCCCCATGAGAAGTCATGTGTAAATGCCTTGAAGTCTATTATAAATCTTATTTTTAAGTCTTTATATTAAACAGACATAATTCAGGAAACAAATCTGGTATTTTGAGAAATAGATTTGGAATAGTGAGAACTTTTACACACAAATGTCTTGACTAAAAGTGTTCTAACTCTAAATGGTTAGATTTTTTTAAAGCTATCATAGCTTAATCAACCCATCTGACCACAAACTAGTCAATGTTGCAATGCTAATAATAATACATGGGAAAAAATTGGTCTGCCTGACTGCCAGATCTTTAATCTGAGGTGCTGAGGAACTGGGGCCAGATTCAAGAAACATTCTTAAGAATAAAATTTTTCTTAACTGCTGTTATGAAAAAAGAATGTTCTTAAAGGGGTTATATGATGCGATTTCAATTTTTCCTTTCTCTTTGAAGTGTTACAAGCTCTTGGTGCATAAAGTTGAAAAGACTAAAGTCTCAAATCCAAAGAGATATTCTTTATAAAAGTTAAGAGTCAGCCACGCCTACCTAAAACGACTCGTTCTAACACGCCCCCGCAGATCTACGTCACGATGTGGGAAGATTTGCATAACGCCGCCCAAATGGTCACACAAAGAAACAAGGCGTAACTTTTATTCTCGCTGTATATTGTTGCCACTGCCACCATGTCGTGAAGGCACTGTGTGATTCGTTGTGAAAGCGAAACTACTTTGTTTGGCCTTCAAAAAGAGGATGATATCCACTTCGTCATGCCTAGAGCCTAGAGCTGATCCGTGCTGGTTGCTGAGGAAATACAAACATAACTTAAGATGAATTTGAATTCTTGAAGAGAATCTTCTTAAAATCAAAGCTAGAATAACCTCCAACTTTTCTAGCTGTAAATTTCCAAAGGTAAGATGTTTTATGAATTTATTGTTTGTAATTAAGTGTTAGAACAATCGTTATAAATTTAACCATATAATTATGGCATAATTTTCAGCAATATTCAGCACATTTGAGAGCGCCAGTACACAGGTCATGTTCACTCTAAAGCAGGGCTTTCCAAACTCAGTCCTGGAGGTCCTGCAGAGTTTAGCTCCAACCCTAATTAAACACACCTGAACCAGCTAATCAAGCTCTTACTAGGCATAGAAACTTCCAGTCAGGTGTGTTGAGGCAAGTTGGAGCTAAACTCTGCAGGACACCAGCCCTCCAGGACCGAGTTTGGACAGCCCTGCTCTAAAGAGAGGGCAAAAAGCCGAAGCGCAAATGAATGGAACAGACCACTCCATCTATTTAAAATACTAAATGACTATTTAAAATACACAGCACATTAAAAAACAAGACACTGAGTCCCATCCAGCCAGTCACAATGGAAATAGTGTGCATGCTTGCATAGTGTGTGATTATGATTATTACTGTAATCTTCAGGCAGTGCAAAAACACAGCCTTTAAAGTGTTTTTCATTGAGTTGATCAGCGAATTTTTGGCAAGAACTTCCATGCAGGTTACCAAAAGTCTTTCTTCTTAAGAATAAAAAAGATGTTCTTAAGAAAATATTTGAGAACTTCTTAAGAATCTTTCAAAAATTGCTGGGGCTGTAAGTAGTTGTCATAGTCGATGCAAAATAGTCATAATTGACAGGTCATTGTCTGATTTGGAGTAAGTTATAGTTTGAAAGGGCAGAAGAGTTTGCAGAAGAGACAGCAGATTTTGTTATCTGTTTTATTGTGTTTCACCAGTGTGCTGTTTATTTTGGATGTGATAACGAAGGCCATGAACTCAATTGCGAATCGCAATCAGATGTCGTCAGGGCAATAGCATTCCTCACAAAGAATTTCTGTCTTAACTCTTAATTAGCAGCAGAATGCTGTAATTAATGACAGAATACAAACTCATAGCAGGCCAGAGGCGGTTGGCTCACTCTATGGAGGCCACCAGAAAAGTAAAATGAAGGCCAGGCCAGGGTTTCTTGTGTCTGATCATGGGGACTGTTTTAATGCAATAAATCATATAATAAAAAGCAAAAGGACAAAAAGCTGACGCTGGTAAAGTCATGCTTTTCAGTCACAGATAATAGCAGTATTTTTCCAGACGTGTTGTTTTGCTTCTGTGCACAGAAAAGTTATAGCTTGGATCAAGTTTGTTCCCACAGGTCAAGTTTTAATCTTTCGTTGATCTGTAGAGATTTTAAAAAGAAAGTTGCCCTGAGTATCATTGGAATTTACTGGAAAGCCTGCTAATGTGCATTGTCCTGATGTCTAAACAGTGCTTAATAACAAGACTAAAGGCCATTTCATCTGAACTGACCTCTTGCCATTATGTCTTGAAAGTAAAACATGGGTGACATGGATGAACGAGTACAGAGAAAAGATGAATGACACCATTTGTGAGGATCTGTGTTGTGTTTTGTTTGACTTTAGCTTCCCAGTGGTGCTATAATGACCTGACATTTTATCTAGTGTCACATTCTGGGTTAACCTAGCCAGTGTAATACATCACCATAGATGCAGACACCATAATACATCTCAGCTGGTGTGTGACAGGTACCGGGTGTCAGAGGTCAAGGATAGTTGAGGAAGAGACACGGTTTTATTTCCTCAAATCAGGGGCCAGGGCTCGTAAATATTTACCTTCAGCAGAACGCCCCAGATTCCACATGTGAGCCCCTAGACAAACATAAATCTATCCATGATTTTTTTTTCCTACAGAAAATATAAGGAATCTGGCAAATGTTGGCTAGGTACTGAGTGAGGAAATGTTGCAATCATGTGTTTTGTTTACCTCCTTCTGCTCCCTCTGTGTCTGTCTCATTCCCCCTCCTTTTCACCCCCTGCAACCCTGTGACCAACCCCCCCCCCACCCATATGGTCTATATAGTCAATAAAATGTACTCTTGCTACATTTAGTTCATGTAAAGCAGAATGTGATGTTTTGTCTGTGCATATGCATGCATATAATTGTGGCATGCTTTTGTGCACGTGTGTCTTGCTTGCAATAACATGTATTTGGTTTTATACCAAGAGACGTGTCAGTAGATATGATATATTAGATGGGAATATTGGAAGGCCGCAGTGAGAGTGAAGACATTCATCAGACATGGTGACAGGCAGGCTTCCAGTAAACACATCTACAGTCTAATACCTCTCCGTCTGAAACTGAATATGTCTCCAACTCTTGATCTGTAGACATCTTCGTATTTAGCATTGGGCTATGTCACTTTATGCAGCTTCATAGGACTACAGTCAAATT